CCTTTCCTTCAACAAAGAGATTTCTGTTTACACAATGTTTTTTTTTCAAACATTATGAAAACATATTTTTAAATTTGGAACCACAATTACAGATGGCAAAAAGTAGCAGAGGAGTTGTATCCCCCTTCATTTTCCAGTTCTGTGTTATCTTTTATCATCGAACAAACCACAGTTTACAAAACACAAGACTCACTGATTGTTTTTCCAGCTTCCAGTCAAAATGACTTTAGCACTTTGTTCTTTTTTTGTGTGTGATTTTGTGTTACTGCTCAAATGTTGACTGGACAGGTACTTCGGTGGGCAGTGTTGTATATTGCATTCTGTTGTACATTTCAGTCTTCTGAGGTGGAACCAGCTTGCAGCACCTAATACTAAAAGCTTTTAGCAATGCTAGGTAAGCAATTGTATGAGCAACTTTACATTTTGTTCCTGTAATACTCAAAATGTTAAGATTAAAACCAGACTGCGTCAGATGGTTTAGAGCGAAAACATTTTCCATCAAGTCTCTCCAGTTCTGATATAATTGATGCTAGCATCTACACTAAGCTCTTTAGCAGCCACCATTGTTGACACACCTAGCGTTAAAACACGCCCGTGGCTCACGCTGTGGCTGCCAGTAGTTTTTCACAGCATGCTAATTCGTCAGAGCCACTGTGGCTGGACACAAGCCGATAGATTGAAGCCTGGCAAGATGGATCCTCACATGATATCACGGGTCCAGCAGCCTCACATGGTCTAAACTGGCAGTGTAATCACAATAATGATAACATTTAATATACAGAACATACATATTATGCATTTATAAGAACATGTAGAGATGAACAGAGACATGTCAACTCCATTTGAAGCCAATGAGTGATTTTTACCCCATTACTGCTACTTGCCTCCCCAATAACATTAGCTCCTGCTGGCTGACAAAGTTTAAGTTGGTGTTTGTCCTTCATTCTCCATCACATCAATCCCATTGATCAACCAAATCACAATTTTGGGGCTTTTTAAAGAAACCTTGGACACTGAGCTGCTGTGATATTTTGCGATAGCTCGGTTATGTAGTGATGTAGCCTACTAATGATGGCTAAAGTCAGCTACGCAGTGAGGTCATGCATGTAGATTACTGTGACTGCTAATTAATATGCAAGCTGGTCACCAACTGCACAGGGTTATACAGGCTATACTACAGGTGGTCTGCATGTGGTTATTGACAGTGTTGCATGTGAATAACATTATTAACGTTATGGTAGATTAACTGTTAAAATGATAGACGGCCTTTTTTTTTTTCCGTCATTGTTTAAACATTACGGTCATTGATTGAAAATGTTGGGTTAACCGGATCCCTTCTCCCAGGTACAAATATGAAACAGAGCCTTTGCTGGAATCCTCACCATGCTACCTCAGCTGAATCACAGTTAAATGAAAGGGCAACACTGAGGACAGAAAGGAATCCCTCGTTTACGGTCTGAACATCTACTAACAGGAGTTTTGTGCTCGAGTCCACCGTGGTGTTGCTCTCTGGCAGCTCAGACACACTGTAGCCATGAAACTGTCAGTGATTGGCTGGGTCCAAATTTACCTCTCATCTTCTATCAACACATGGAGTCCAGCTGCCAGTGTCTCTGCTTCCACCTGCACACATCAAGTCAGTCTGTCTGCTTTGAAAAATAACACCTTTCCATCTGCGTTTCTGCATACTCCTGTCTCACAGCGTACAGTAATTGGACTCAGACATTTTTATGACTAAGGAATGCAGCTCAGGGTTCATTGCAGACCTTTCATCGCATTATCAGAGCCCAGTCATGTGTGACTGGAGTCTGGTGGAGGACGGATGAGAAGGACAAATGCACTGATTGATGAACTTGGTGTACAGGCAGACAGGTGACTAGCAGGTCCATCACCACACATACCTCGACTAAAAAAGATACTTGGCCATGACATTGAAGGGAAAACATTTATTTATGTGACTGTGTGATTACAGTTTTCCTAATATGAATCTGAACCATTGACTGCTGGGTTCAGTCCCTACATGCGTTATTATTAAGTCTACTGTATGTAAGACAGATAGTGCTTTAAATTTTCATCATACTCCCTATCACTCTGCTTTTTTGGTAGCCCAAGCTGATGTCCTCGAATGTCTTGTTTTGCCTACAACCCAAATATATTCAGTATACAGTCATAAATGACCAAAGATATATTCACATTGCAGAAGTTGAAATCAGCGAATTTGTACTTTTTTTTTCTTAAAAAATGACTCAAAATGATTAATCGATTATCAAAAGAGTTGTCGATTCACTTGGACTTCCACAGTGGCGGGGCTTCTTCTGCTCAGAGGAGAGACAGCGGTGGAGAGCTGACATGGCCACAATGAATGTAATGTATGCAAAAGATTTACAGATGACAAAAATACTAGGTAACTCAGTCATAGGCTACACCAAAGCAACAAACACTGGAAAGAGAAATTGAGCTACCATGCCAACATGATTACAGAGGATTTGTTATTTTATACTTTATTTTATAAAAAAAAACTTATTAAGAAACAGCTTTGATGCAAGCATTTACTTAATTCAATGCAGAACTATTTAATTGTCAAGCATATACATAAAATTGATTTTAGGTATCTGATCGTGTGTCGACAGATACTTAGTATTAAGTGACTCATGATATGAGTATACTAAGCTTTCATACTGAAGACTGTAATGGCAATTTTTGAGAACCTATACAACCCTTTGACCTACCTGAACCTGGTCATCTGTAAAACCATACCACACTGTTAAAAGAGGCTCATTTATCATGCATATACACCCTTTAAAAACCCTGTTTCCTAGGCCCTACCACTGCTTGTCCAAATAAACAGGCCAGGATGTTGGAGACTTCACCCAAGAACGCAAGGCGACATGATCAAGTCCCACCCACAGCCGATCCTGTCTGTCTTAAGCTCGTCCCCACACGAACTCCAAAGGAATCGTGTCAACTGCTGTTAGAGTGACGCTCCCAGTATCTACCCCCACAGTATTATCAGCTGGATACAGTTTGATCTGTATAAGTATATATATCAACTATATAGATCTACAATATGTATATAATTATATTTTTTTTGTGTGTTGAATGTTGTGGTGTGTGTGATGTGTATGGTACACATACTATTAGATATATACTACGATATAACTACCTGTTGTTTGTTACATACATTCTTCCTGTCACATCTGGAGCGTGTACGAAAATAATTTCCCTCTGGGATCATTAAAATATTCTCGAACAACCAGGCATAAACCAATAATGAGTTGCGGGACCTTTCACCATACCCGAGAATTCGTGTGACGATTGCGTTCCGAGCGCCATTCATGTGACCTTGAATAAAACCTTACACGAAAGACAACACCTATCAACCTAATGTCACTGCCTACAAATTGCCACCACAAGACACTGTTTGTTCTTAGATTTCTGTCCTCAGTTGGACAGACATAGTATTTTGTCTTGTGGCTGATGGATCTCGGGGGAGCTGAATTGTTACAGATAAATCTGTTGAAGTTCATGATATTAGTAGCTGAGGTGGCTGGTAGAGGGACAACCAGCACAGCTCGTTATTTTTATTCAGCTCCGGTCAGTCTCATTGCTGCAGGCTCTGCTGATCTTTTCACTAGCAATACATCCTTACCGCACTGCTGTGAAACTAGAAGCCAGTATCTGCTGGGGGCAGCTGCAGATGTTCTCTCAGTTGAACATGTGTTCAATTCAATCATCAGATTTTCTGTTCACCCACTCTCTGAACTGACTGGTGATGAGTTCTTGGAAACTTCTCTGCTGGATAAATGTGTCCTGTCTCACGAATTTCCCACAGTTTGCTTCATGTTCTGTGCTGCTGGCAACAACTTGTGGCAGTGTCCAGGATAAGAATTTGGCTTTAAAGCAGAATGGTCACGCCAACATATAGAGACACTGATCACTGATGGACCTGTTTTCTCCATGTCCTCACTGCCAACAATGAAACAGATCTCTTTGACACTACGCAAACAGTTACATGCTGTTTAGTTCTGCTGACTGTTGAACTATGGAGTTCTGAGCGGTGGCCATGCATGTGTTTCCTTTCTCCATGGTTGTTATAGTACTGCTGAGCTCTAGCTCATTCAGTGAGAAATGAATGGAAGCTGTTAAAACTTGATCAACCCCTACTGTGTGTATTGAGTTTCATACCATGGTAAATAACTGCATCAGCTCTGCAGAGCTGTGTAGCCAAAATTCAGGGGTTAGGCTCATACAACAATAAACACACACCAAGACTGTATGTATTTAAACATTTGCAACATTTAGAATACAAACAGTGAATCTCTCTTCATGTGGTAGTTGGTTAGTCTTCTCAGGCTTGCGTACTCAGTGTACGGATAGAAACTGATTATATGAAATCGTGGTTATGTAATCAGGTTACAAAACTTAAATAACAATAATCAACCTTCAGTGGTCTATGGATCTTGATAGGGGAATGGGATCAATGTTTGAGATCAGAGCTGCCACACACATGCCCACACAGCCTCTAATCGCAAGTCAGGAACACAGCACCAGCCTACATCTCCCATCCCATCAGTCCATATCCTATGTCCAGACCCCTTAGATCCTCTGATCAGTTGCTCCTCATCATCTCACCTTGCCAGTCAAAATGCATTGCAGCACTTAGACTGTCAGATCTCCCTTATCTATTGCCACTTTAAAATCAGTATAGGTAGTATAGCTGTATAGACATGTACAGACATTCTGATTATATGTTATAGTAGGAAACATTAACATTTGACTGCTAAAGAACAGAAGGACCACAAATACTGTTTCTGGCCACCTGAAAAATATATTCTAATCTATCATTCTCATCTTTGATCTCTAGTTTGGTCTCAACCAGCTCATGAGAACATTCTCCATCTTGAACGCATCAGAAGCACCACTTAATCTACCATTGATCACCTCAGTGTTATTTTGGTTTCTCAACAGAGAAAGTGGATTTGATACAGTGTTTCTCCAAGATGGCGGCCACCAATGTGTCCCTATCAGTGGACAGTCTGAGGTGTCCAACTCTCCAAATCGGCCTTTATGACAATCTTATGATGGCTACACAGCAGGCTTTTGGATCAAGGTATTGTTGTTTTTCTGTGTGTGTCTGTGACAGTGATCATGATAATTCAAATTTTGAAGGAATAATTCAACATTTTGGAAAATATTCACTTTCTATCTATGAGCGAGTTGAAAAGATGGATGTCAAACTCATGTTGACGTCCAAGTACAGAGCTGGAGTCAGGACCTGGGTTGCATAAATGAGCATAAAGACTGGAAGCAGGGGAAAACGGTTAACCTTGATACATCCAAAGTTAAAAAATACACATACCAACACTTCTTAATGTTAGCCTTTTCCTTGTCTTACATTATAGTAGATTGAATATCTTTGGACTGCTGGTCGGACAAAAGAAGAAATTTCAAGACATCGCCTTGGGCTCTGGGAAATTTCTGATGTTTGAATGATCAATTAATCAAGAAATTGGCTGGTTAATTGATGATTGAAATAATAGTTAGTTACAGCCCTAAAGGTGTTGTTAGGTGTAGTTCTGAATTTTGTACTGAGCTAAGCTAGGCTAATTACATCCTGACTGCAGCTCTGTACTTAACGTGCATAGGGATTTATATAGATTCTTCATATTTGGGTGCAAGTGTAGATGTTTTGCTGATTTTGTGTGTGTGTGTGTGTGTGTCTTTCCTGCAGGTTTTCTGATGAGTTCAGTATGCTGATGAGGCTGCGCAGCTCTCAGAAGGAGGAGAGCAGTGTGTTGACTCTATTAAACGCCCAGCATCACATCCACCTGCAGCTCCGTCTTAGCCCACATTCACTAACCTTTATTTCCACCCAACACAGAGAATACGAGTATGTCTGACCCCAAGCTGAACAGTTTTCTGCTGCACTATGATGTACACACTGCATCTACATGTTCCCATATCTCAGCAATTACTGTGCTTAGTTCAAAGTCATCATAACTGTAGGAAATGATGGCCAAAACTAAAAAATAGCCACTTGTAATAAACAGGAACTTCCCTATGCAACCAGCCCTAACTTGCTGTTAGCACTTTAGTAAAAGCACTCACTGATCTCCTGAATGTCCCCCCTCTCACTTCATCTACCCTCCCTCATTCAAATACAGGTTCCCAGTGGGGTCTCTGTGTGATGGCCAGTGGCACCAGGTATCACTGGGCGTCTCCCCGCTCTGGCTGGAGGTTTATGTGGACTGTTCTTTGGTGGAGAGGGTGAACTGGGCCTATCCTTGGCAGGGCATCTCCACTGATGGTCTGCTGATAATCGGAGGCAGCCTGGAGGGCTTTGAGACCCCCTTTGAAGTAAGGAAATGTATATGTGCTTAATGTAACAGACTTATGTGAGTGTTTGCTTGGTAATAATCAATGCTTGTGCAGAAGGCTGAATTGACTTTACCAATGTCCCCTGCCACTTGGAGGCAGTAGAGAAAGCTTGATTGTATTCTCTGTTTTACTCACTTAATTTCTAATTGTCAGGATCAAAGTGTGTATGACATCAAAACTAGTTGTTGTAGTATAAAATTTTATGTATGATGTTGAATATTATAAAGTTATATGCTAGAAATCAAGTTAATCACACAAAATGTATGGTAG